TATGACATACCAAATAAAGCCCAAAAATCTACTGAAACATGGTTAATGCATGCAAGAATGAGATGCTCCTTCGATATGCTATGAAGAGGGTTATTCTACACATGCAAGATGGACATCCAATATGGAAAAACAAGCTCTGGACAGAGCCTATGCAGGTCCTCAAACTCATCAAAAATGGCCTGAAACATGGTTTGGAAGCATGCAAATAGCGCTCCTTTGTAAGGCTAAAAATGCTAGAATACAAAACACGGAGAGAGAGGGTCACCCCTCTCTGATTTTGACACTCAAAACAGTATGCTAGCCACTAAAAATCCACTGGATTTCAGTGGCTAAAAGGCCAAACAAAGTCCAACACAAATGCTCTAAGGCATGGCTTAAAACAAGGTAAAATGAAGCATGCAAGGAGGTAGATGACCCCCAACAGAAAAATGATCTTAAACAAACATGTTAAGGGCCTCAAAATAAGACTTTTTTCAGTTTACACCAAAGCTCAAATATGCTTGCAAGTATAGCTAAAAGATGAAGCAAAATAAAGCCTTAAAAGGGAGAAAGTGTGTTACCCTTGTAGCACAAATGGACCAGCAACCTCTGGACCACAAAGACAGGCTCTCAACCTCTGAAAATGGCCTCTAAGATGCTTAGAGTGATGGTGGAGGGGTTAGGTTGGGAGATGGTATGCAAAGGTGCAAGAACCATGCACTTTTTGAGCTTGGATGTAGAGATATAGAGGGAGAAGTCTTGTATCCCTTAGACAAATTTTTTGGAACCTCTCTAAAGGAGAGGGAGACCCTCTCTTATAGAGAAACAAGAGGGTTCAAGCTTCTTGGAGAAGCTAGAGCAAAGGTTCATGCTTCCTCAAGAAGCTAAAACAAGGGTTCAAAAGGTTCAAGCTTCCTCGAGAAGCTAAAACAAGGGTTCTAAAGGTTCAAGCTTCCTCAAGAAGCTAAAACAAGGGTGTAAATCCTCCATACACATGTATGGAGGGCAGGGTCTGTGCTTACCAGTTGGCGTAGCTGGTATGGATAATGCCTGAAAAAGGCAAAGAAAAGATCTCGGCTAGAAAAAGTGGCCGATCGACCAAAACAAGTGCCGCCCGACCAAATATAGTGCTGACCGACCAACGCTCTTGGCCAGTGGCAATAAAAAGGGGCCGATGGCCTCATGCCATGGCCGGTGGGTTGAGGGGATGGCAAACAAGCCACCCTCTTCCCTTAGAAGCAAAAACATAAGTGTTTGGTCCATGACCAAGCACAAAACAGATAAGTTGAGAGATCTTGAGGCAAGGCGCGTAGCTATGACCTCCGAGAACTCAAAACGAACACGAGCATGGATGATCATTGAGTGTTCAAACGATGACGTCCAAGTCTTAAGGACGGTCAAAAATAAGGTGTCTACAGCCCCTTGCATGCTCCATGCACTTGTAGTGCAATTCCATGAATTAGCCTAATGTGTATCATGCTTTAGACCATCATTCTAACATGATTTTGGCTTAACTCTAAGAAGCTTTTGTTCTTGTTTTAGCATGATTAAGCTCTGATTTGTGTTGTCTTGGTCATGCATGCCATGCTTTGTATAGCTATAGTGCATTTTAGCTTGTTAGCTTTGTGTGTTGAGTCCACTAGCATGCATTGCTTGGCTTATTTGAATGATTTGGCATCATTTGTTATTTGATTTCAGTCCATGTTTCATGTTCATGCACTCACATTTGTCCCTCTTTCCATGCTTTGGAGGGTTGATCCTTTATGTCTAGAAATGAGTCATTGCGTATGCCTTCATGCCTAAGCTTGTGAGCTATCATTTCAGTATGTTTTGGGGGTTATTTTGCCATGATATAACTTTGATTTTTTGATTTTTGTTGGCGAAGCCATCCCATGCTTGGTCTTGGTAGGTGTAGTGTAATCCTTCCTTTTGGCCTTGTATGCATCATGCCTTATGCCCTTCATGCTAGCTTGGTTTGGCTTTCTTACATGCATGTTTTAGACTCATTTTGACATGTTCTAGGACTATTTTGGGTTGCCTCGACCATATGCTTCATGTTTTGCATAGCTATAGTGCAAGTGCTTAGGCTAGTTTCAAGCTTTGGGCACCATAGCATGCTTCATTTGTATCAAGTGCATGATTTGACATCATTTATCATGATATTTCAGAGCTTATAGCATTGCTATGTTCTCACTTCTTTCATGCTTTGAATGCCTTTAAGGGTTGTGCATTGTTGCCTAGCTTATGGCCTAGCTTGTATGCTTGCATGCCTTGACTTTTGAGCTCTCATCTCAGCATGCTTTGGTCTTTGTTTTGACCTATTTGAGCTCTATTTGTGGCTGGTTCATGCATTTGTGCCATGTATTGCATGCCCCCTTTGTAGTCCTCTTTGCTAGCCTTATGCCTTAAGGACTCTAGTATGCTATACTTGTGTTGTTTGAATGATTTGGCATCATTTCATACCTTATTTCAGAGCTTATAGTGTTGTTACACTCCCATGTTTATCACTCCTTGAGCACTCTTGAGGGTTGTGCTCTTAGGCCTAGTTGATAGGCCAATGCATGTGCATGCTTGTATATGCTTTTGTACCTTCATTTCTTAGCATTATGGCCACTGATTTGGGCAGGGCTGAGGCCTGTCCACATTCGGTTTAAGTCCATTTAGCATGTTTTTTTGCATGTCGTTTGCATGCTTATGTTACATTGCATTAAGTATGCCATGTTGTTCATTGCATTGTGTATGCTATGTTACATCGCATTGTGTATGCCATGTTCTTTGCATTGTGTATGCTCATGTTACATTGCATTGAGTATGCCATGTTGTTTCTTTGCATTGTGTATGCCATGTTGTTTCTTTTCATTGAGTTGTTTCTTTGCATTGTGTATACCATGTTGTTTATTTGCATTGTGTATGCCGTGTTGAGTTGCATTACATGTTTTCATGCTTGAGTTGCTTTGCATGTGTTTGGATAGGGTATTAGTCCAAACGCGAGAAACGAGGGATGTTTCATACTTGAAGTGATGAAACGTGCCTCAATTCTCGATCGCCGACCCTCTTGATCATACATGATAGAGGTTAAGGCTTTGTGTGTTATGTGTGCATTCATTTCACATTGATTCGTGCAATCTTGGCTTCTCGGCCATCATGCATTGAGATGCATGATTGGTGGCCCAAGGGTTAAAAACCGCACTTCCTTGAGCTTATGAAATGATAAGGAGGGTGGTTGTGCACACATACCTTGCAAATACATCGCCATGCCCTTTCTTGCTCTATGTTGCAGCAAACTGGAGAAGTGCAGCAACAAGTGGCCAGCAGACCAGAAAAACTAGCTGGCCGACCACTTTTTCTGGTCTGCAGCAATGGTAAGTGGTCGGCCAGTGGCTAGCAACACCCCCAGGTGGTCGGCCATGCTCCTACAAGTCCCTAAAGTGAGTTGGAAGCTTTTTGAGCTTGGTGCAAGGTTCTGAGAACAGTTACAAACAGAGGCAAATCGGGGCATCGCGTTGGATTTCTGAACGAGGCGACCGAGCATGCATGCGCTTCTCGCTCTGAGGACATTTCTTTACTGCTTTACTTAGCTAATTTGCTTAGCTAGTTTATGCTTTGGTTCTGTATTTAAGTAGTTAATGTGTCTAGCTGCTTATTTGTGTTGTAATAACTAGTTAGTTAACTTCTTAGTTAATTAGCTTAGTTTTGTACTTAATTAGTTAACTTGTTAGTTAATTAGTTTTGTGATGTAATAATTAGTTTAATTAGCTTAGATTAGCTAGTTAGCTTCTTATTCGGACCCTCCGTCGAGAGGGCACAACTGTTGTAATAAGCGTGCGTGTGTGTGATGCATGTCTTCCAAGCCCCATTTCTTTCTCCCTTTTACTTAACCGCTTACTATGGTTAGTTTTAGGACATATTCAATTAACATACTTATGCTTCGCATGCGTGCATTCATTCATCTGTCTTGCATGCACCGGGCTTGGCGCATCATACAAACTGCATTGTATTTCAATTCCAATTTGAATACATGTACCAAGTAGTATTTCATATGCCATCTTAGAATAGCCGAGCCTATTTTAGTTGCATCTTTGCATGTGTTGCATTAGCCATCTTAACATGAACTAGGATCATGCATGATTTCTAACTAGTTCTCTGTTTTGGCGCGGAGTATACTGTGAGTGTTTATGCTTTAGCATCCTTGCATGTATGTAAGTGACTGCTATGTTTAGCATGCTTGCCATGAGGCTAACTGCTTAAGTGTATAACTGCATGAATGCCTATGGATGAAGGTTGGATTGCTTGAATTGAAACAATTCAGCGAAATGCGAGTTTTAAGCCCACTTGAGGGTGGCACAATCTACGACTTAGCCTACTTGCGAGTAGCAAACTTCAAATCATTTTCACAAACGAACATGCAATGTTTTGTTCCAACTTAGGCGATCTAGTCTATACTTGTATGTTGTGCGCATCACATAGTAATTCTAGGTTAATAACCGAAATAAGAACGCATGTGTTTTCAAAAACAAAATATCATGTTAGTAAAGGCCGATCTTTGATCGGGTGAGCGGGGGTGCTCATTGCATGACCTTCCCCTCTCGTACCCAAGTTCCCGAGCCGAGGTAACTTTGGTGATGACGGACACGTGGCCTTAGGCACAAGTCAGGGTTTCCTAAATTTTCCAAAATAAAATATTTAGGTGGCGACTTTGTATCTGACAAAGCAAGCCATGTTTGGCACTTCTTTATTAAAATTGATTTTCCAAAACGATTTGCCAGATTTGGACTCTTTGGTGATTTATCAGTCTTGCACTGCACTTTGCGAGATTAGATTCAGAACCGTGACATGAGTCCAAACTGTAGTAGCTAAGAACACAAGCGATTCGCGCCCTCGCGTGCAGAGAGTGGAGTTCTCGTGGCAGTCTACAAGAGGATATGCTCAGAATGTGCGCCCTAGATTTCCAAGGCAATTGGGAGACCTACTTACCATTAGCCGAGTTTGTGTATAACAACAGCTACCATTCGAGTATCGGTATGGCTCCGTATGAAGTTTTGTATAGTAGGAAGTGCTGTTCTTCGATTTCTTGGGCTGAGGTAGGTGAAAGAACATTGTTAGGACCAGAACTTGTGCAAGAAACAACTGAAAAAGTGAAATTGATACAACAATGTCTGAGAACTGCACAAAGTCTCCAAAAGAGTTATGTAAATGTTCGAATGCTAGATAGAGAGTATGAAGTCGGGGATCATGTGTTCATAAAAGTGACTCCAATAAAAAGGCAAGCTCGATTTGGTGTTAGGGGCAAGTTAGCACCGAGATATGTTAGGCCTTATGAAATCCTTGAGAAAATTAACCCAGTGACGTATCGGGTAGCCTTGCCTCCAGTCATGGAAAATATGCATAATGCCTTTCATGTTTCAATGCTTTGGGACTATTTGAGGGATCCATTCCATGTTATTGAGCTGACACATGTACTCTTGAAGGATGATTATACATATGAAGAATGGCCAATTCAAATCGTTAACCGAAGAATCAAGAGATTGAGGAACAAGGAAATTCCGTTAGTGAAAGTGGAATGGCAGAATCATGGGAGAACTTATGCTACATGGAAAACAGAAGAAGATATGATGAAGAGATATCCGGATTTGTTTCCGTTAGACCCAACATTCTTCCAAAATGAAGGTAATTCAAGTTTAGAGGACCAAACTGTTTAAGGGAGGAAGACTGTAACAACCCCAACCTGTGATTAGCTGATTAACCATGATTAATTATGCCTAATAAGTAATTAAGGTAAAATTTTGAAGAAATTGCATGTGCGTCACATTATTTGTGCTCATATCTATCTAATGTAGAAATATCTGTTTATATTTCTGTTTCGTTCTGCGAATTGAAAACCTTATTGGCATCTGATTACGAATTTGACTTGATTATGTGTTAGTTGGAATTTTTAAAACATTATAGTAGGTTTAATTAAAATTTGATTCAGAATGATTAAATTAGAATAATTAATGTCAACTAATTAACTAACTCCTAATTAAGCCTATGTAAGGCACCTATTGTACCTCCACTTATTCTTTTTCTTCATCTTAACAAATCTACCTTACACACAAACCAAACATGGGAGAGAGAGAGAGAGAGAGAGAGAGGGGCAAGAGGAGTTTGAGCTCTAATTAAGAGGATTGCTAGAGAACTTAGAGATTTTGGCTTGGAACTTCCAACAGTTGATCATCTAGAGCATCATTGACAAGCCTATATAAGAATTCAACCTTTAGATTGTACAATTATGATGTGTAGGACATAAACTCTGGAGAATTATGTTGGATAATACAAGAATTGAGTTAGAAATGAAGAGAATTGAACCATATCATGCATACGTGCATATATCATGACATTTTGAGTAGATTTCTAGAGAATCTTCACATGCATGTGCTTCACTGGACTTGGTTTTGAGAAGTCATCACATTTCTTACCATTTGACCTTAATTGATCATGTTTTGGAAAGTCTAAGTTCAAAGTAATTCATGCATTTCATGTTCATGGCATATTCATAAATTTCAAGTTGAAGTTTTGGTCAATTAGCATGCTTTGGGGCCTTGATTTACTGAAATGATCTTCAAACCATGGTATCTTACAAGTTTCTAAATGTTTTCTCGAATTTTGGCCCAAAAAGATGAGTCTTGAAGTGTGTAATTCGAGTTTGGAGCTTGGGATACACTTCTGCTCGAGTGGCAGAATCTACGCTCGAGTGACCACTCTAAGGTCTTGCACTTTCGCTCGAGTGACCAGAAGTCTGCTCGACTGTGGAATGCAAGCTCCCGAAATTTTCTACATTCTGTAGACCACTCGAGCGATAGAAGTTACGTTTGAGCGAGGGCTTTAATCTCACGCTCGACCGACCGTCGAACAGTCATCAAGCGAAGAATTCACACAACCAGTACTTTTTCAGAGTTTGCAGACCGCTCGAGCGAAGGAAGTTGTGCTCGAGCAGCCCCTCACATGTTTGCATGTTCGCTCGAGCGAGAGAAGTTGCGCTTGAGCATGACCCCTGTTTTCAGCAAGTTTTGTTAAGAGTTCCAAAGTGCATTTTTGGCATCCACATTGCATCCTAGGCATTCCTAGGCCATGATTAAGACACAATAAAAGGGTAAGACCTAGAAACACACTATAATGAAAAGAAAAAAGTTAAGTACCAACCGAGTGTGTGTTTCATTATGTGTGTATAGGTTATGCGCCACAAGTTGTCTGACTTGTCTGTTTCTGCAAGTGGAGCCATCTGTGAGTAATAACTCTGTAAAGTTATCTAATTTTAATTATTTTTTGATGCTATAAAATGATTAGTTTCCTGAAATGCAATGTTTTGTATGAATGAATGATTATCCAAATTTCTGAAATGTATTTGTGACATCCTTAGCACAAGGCCCTACGCAGGGGTAATAATATCGTGGTCTACAAGTACAAAACCCTTGTCCGGGGGTAACAATACCGTGGTCTCATGGCCCTTGCCCGGGGGTAACAATACCGTGGTCTCAAGGCCCTTTCCCAGGGGTAATAATACCATGGCTCAAGTATGTTACAAGTTTTCCGGACTGGAGGTTCCCTAATGGAACTGACAAGCATGATAACGATAATGGATGTACCATGTATGATTAAGCATGAACTCTGATTTCTGTATATGATTTGAATGAACCTGTTTCTGATTGAAATCTGAATATGCATAAGACTATGTTTTTGATATAAACTCATGTATATGAATCTGTTTTGGACATCATTCATTTAAACCCTTCACTCTGTTATTATTCACTGGGCTTACGCTCACTATTTATATTATGCATATAGGTGAACAAGCGCATGACCAGGTCTAAGCTACGGCCTGGAGTGTTTTGAGTCAGCCAATCACTGTGTCTCCGAGGAGGTTCCTTTTTGAGAAGTCAAGTTTTGTGAACTTGTTGAAAATGTTTTGTTGTTTTGTTGTTTTGTTTATCTCTATACTGGGCTAAGTCCCTTTTGTTGATGCTTGCACAGTGTTGCGAGACTTATGTGGACGTGTCATCTTATGTGCATATGTTACAAAACATCAAATTTTCTGCCCCATGTATGTCTGCACAGCTCTATAGACTATGTATATTTTATGTATTTGCTTCTGCAGCCCCCAATTATATGTTATTCTGTTAAGAGGCCTTTAGTAATCCAAGGATTACTGGCCGGTTACGACGCTAAACCTATAGAGGCGGGTTTGGGTCGTGACAATTTCTTTATAATCATTATAAACTATGAACAAATTTCAAAATACCCATTTCTTATTTCTTTTCTCATATCACATTTTTTTTTCGCAATAAATAATATGGTTAAAAAATCATGAGATTAACAACTAATCTTATTTCTTAACATTATTAAATAAACAAAATTAGGGATTTTTATTGTAATCATCATAATCAAGTTCTGTTGCCATCGAATTCTCATATCAACACTAAAACACAAGATTTGCTCTTTTGATTCAAAATCCTAACTTACGTCTATATGCTTTTCAAAAATTCCCTTCTCAAATCAAGTTTTTTTTTCTTTTTTTCCATACAATAGAAAATACCTTGTATCTATCTACGAAAATGTATTGATGAGAGTAAAAAAAATCGCTATGCCTTGGAGTGAAGAGAGAAAGAGAAGAAAACCCCTAAAATTCATGACATTGAAATTTGATCTCCATCAGTGCCTCAACACACTTGTCATTTTGGTCTTAAGAACTAGTACCAAATTCTCTACAGATTTTGATGGATCACAGGATTTGTGAGTTTTGGAAAGGGTTTAAAGAAAAGGGAGAGAAAGGGGGTTTAGAGAGATAGAGAGAGAGAGAGAGAGAGAGAGAGAGAGAGTAAAAAAATGAGTTTTTGGGCCCTCAAATCTAACTAAGCATAGCTTTAATATGTACTGAATTCGAACAAACCGCTTGAGCAATCAAAACTGCACCCGAGTAGTGATTGAAAGCTCTAAATATTTCTATTTTCTCGAACAGATTGTTCGAGTAGTCAAAAGTGTGCTTGAGTGGTGAATCAATGCTTTCGGTATCTCAAACAATTTTGAAAAACAGAGGTGGAAGGTTTTATGGACCGCTCGAGTGGTAAAACTTGCGCTCAAGCGAGCTATGCTTACAACTCATGTGGTCAAACTTCGAACAGGCATAACTTTTTTGTTTAGACTCCATTTTGGGTCGTTCTTGTGTCTATATTGAAGCGCCCAAAATAAAATTTCCAATGGTTCTACCCTCACCTCAAGATTCAAAATGTTGATAAATAAAATAGTAAAAGAGTGAAAACTACTCATGGGACAATTATCTACATCAAAGTTTTTGGTTCAATCCTATTTCACCATTATGATAGCACACCAATCAATACTCTAATGTCAATCTAAGAGGCTCCAATTATAATAATAAGATAGTCAAAAGCAATCCCACTACACCAAGGAGTACGAAGTGATATACCACGCGTGTTTTAGGACTTTCACCATAGTCCTAAAATCAACTTAATTCTCAATAACTACACCTCCTAACTGGATTTACTAATGTATTTATCCCATTTCTCATATATTTCAATCATTCTCAAAATTTTCAAAAGTTCACATTGTATTTCTCAAAATGCGATAATAGGTGAAATCATGAAATTATGGAATGCTCAATGATATGCATACCCTTGCAAATGTTTCAATTTTTCTAACTCACATGTAATTTCTACAATACATCCATGCAATCCTCCATCGATTACCAAAATAATTAGCTCTAATTCAATGTTCTAATCTAGGAAATATATAGAGCATAATTCAATAATTCCCAACAATTTCAAAAAAATAAGGTATCATTTCGCAAAAATTCTCATAATCTCATCAACTCCAATACATATGTCCGATATTCATAACTCTTAATGAATTTCATCAATTCAATCTTAAGTTCAACATTTACATCTTTTAGGGTTTATGAAAATTTGAGGGTTTCTCTCTAGGAACACAATTTTCTCAAATTCATAATTGTAGGTTACTTATAAGAGAATCAATTTGGATATTTGATAAAAATTTGAGAGTTTCCCCCTAATTTGTGCATTTATACTCATATAAACAAAATCTTAATTTCTTAAAGGTGTTTAACAACCAAAATAACACATAACAAAGTTAAAACACATACACAATGTTAAGAAAATCCCTATTTCAAGTTTAGAAGAGAAAATAAGCAAAAGCCCCAAAATTCAATGTTGCTAGATTTTTCATTCGATCAGTCAAGACGTAGCCCTTAACATGTTCGTCAATTTGGTCTCAAGAACTAACGTCTAAATCATAGTTGATTTTGGTGGATTAGAGAAAATGTGAGAGTTTGGTGTGAGTTTAGAGAGAAAAGAGGGAAAGAGAAAGTGGGAAAGAGGAAGTATAGAGAGGGTGAAAGAGATGAAGAAAGAAATGAAAAGGTGAAGGGGGATAAGATTTGTTCAAAAAAGAGCTCAAAAATCAATACTGAATCATGCGTTGCTGCACGTGTGGGAACCCCCTGCTGCACATGTGGTTTACTGTAGGGAGAAATTTACTATCTACTAGGCTTGTTTAGCGGATATTCCGATCCACCCAAACCGACTAAACCGAACTAATCCGCTGCATTTTGGACAGATACGTGATGACTAGCGGACGATTGCGGATTGATTTTTTTCAATCTGCTTAGTTTTGGATGGATAACGAATTTGAG